TGTTATACGAAACAAAGAACTAGTACGAAAAGGAGGGTTAGGTTCCAAAAATTAAAAAACATGCTACTATATTTTCATAATTAAGATAAATATCTTTATTAAAATTTTCTTAAGTGATACATATTAATATAAATTAAACAATGTTTTCTTTGTCATCACTAAAAGCACTATTAACCGAGAGCGTTTTATTTTTGGCAAGTTATCCTTATCCTCTGAGCATTTTTCTGCATTATTTTCAGATTCATGCTTTACCTTTTGCAAAAAGTATGTAATTTTAGATTGCTTGCTTCTAGTTAAAAGATCTTTATAAATTTCCTCATATGGTGCTAAGCACTTATCAAAACGGAAAAACATCTGGCAACACCAGAAGCAGAAGTGTCGAGATCTGGCAAAATTGACACAATTTTCCATGGAGACAAGGACCATGTGTATGGAGGCAAGAAAATATAATTTACATACTGAAGTACTAATAGTTCACGAAAATTATTATTTTCATGAACTATTAGTACTTATGTATGTAAAAATTTATTACATTTTGTGTTGTACGAGGGTTTTACCCATTTCTCGAACCGCATCAGAGTGAATCCGTGCTATAGAAGTGCCGTGTTATACGGGGGTTACCTGTACAACAGTATGAGTTAGGTGATGGTTTTATTTTCGTTTTTTAGCAATTTTCTGAAGGATATATGCCAATGTGGGTCATAGAGGAAATTACATTACTTTTACTAAATACTTGACAAAATACATTTAAAAAATTTTAATTTAAAATCACAAATTTTTTTATTGTCCTTGACATTTTTAGTTCAAAAATTTAAATATTTTAAATTATTTTTATGTAAAATTTCTTAATAAAGCAAAAGTAATGTAAACTTAGAATTGTTACTAATCATTTGAATATTTATTTTGCTTGCATTCCTATCCTTTTATCAACCAATATCCAGTGACTAATACCAATAATTAGTACAACTGTAATTTTATAGATTTCTAGTCTAATAAGAGTATTAATAAAATGTAAATAATTAAAATATTATAATTTATCAATTATTACTAATTAACTTTTGAATTTAAAACTTTTAAATATAATTTTCAAACTATTTTTTAAATAAAATACAATGTTTAAACTAAAACTTATTATATATAAATAAATAAAATTATTTCAACCTTACCAATGATATTAACCGTTGCATAGCTTGTTCATGACTCCATATACATTCACAAGGATCAAAACCACCTTCAGCCATATTGTATTTTTAAATATAAACTGGAAAAACTATTAAAAAATTGCTTTTAGTAGAATTTTAATTTTATTATTTTTAAAATTAATAAAACATCATCAATTATTACTTTAGTTTAAGTTTTTACCCATATGATAATTTGGGTAAATTCATCATAGTAAAAGGGTATAGTTGCATATAAAAAAAGTATCCAAATCAATTAGATTATAGCAGTTCTTAATATAAAGAAATATAAAAATAGTCACAAATTAATTCACAATGAAAAATATTAAAATTATTGAAATTTTATATTATTCAAACTTTCATCATTAGTTATTCTGATACTTTTATTTAAAAAAAAATATTGTTTATCAGAAATGTTTTAAAAATTGATAATTTTATAAAAGTGATTATAAAAAAAATTATTCAAACATGTTAGTTTCAACACCATCAAGTGAAAATACTTTTTCTTGATTCCATTAAATACATAATAAAAAAAAATAAAAAAAATGTAAAATTAATATCATTCATATAAAAAAATTAATTGAAAATTACAAATATCAATGATTTTCATAAAATTTTTTTAGACGTATATTGTATCAACAAATCTAACATCTACATTTGCTATTACATTCAAAGTATGCATTAATCTTTTGTTTTGGATTAGACAATATACCAAATCCAACAGACAGTTATAACTATCTAAATTTACTATCTATCTAAATACTATAATAACTATCTAAAGAAAACTAAAACCAAATTATATCAGTCTATGTAAAATGTTAGAGTCTATAATAATATTTCCTGTTCAAAAGTTTAAAAAAAAACTACAGATAAAAAGAATGATATGAGACTTTTTTTATTATTAAACTTTATAAATATTTCCTGTTTCCATTTTAAACATTTGTAAAATCTAAAACTGTTAATTTCTGTAAGTTTTCTATGAATTTTGTTGAAAAATTGCCATTTTTCGTCTGATATATAGAAAAAATTAATTTGTTATTAATTTATTTTCTTAGACAGAGTTTTAAAAGATTCTCCATTTAAAAATAATCTGATAAATATTTCTGATATAAATATTAAAATAGATTAACTTGACTAACAGGCATCATGTATATTTAAATTGTTAAATAAATGTTAGTTTTTCAGGATTTAAAAAAGCATATGATGTTCATCTAATAATTTTAAATCACTATTACAAATAGTGATTTAAAATTACAGTTGTGATTTAAAATTACAGTATTACAAATGTAATACTGTAATTTCCAAAACTTTATTTACTATTTTTTTATACAATCATATAATGAATGTTTTACAATATTAGTTATTGAATATATTAAAATTCGGAGCACTAATATATTGAAAATATAATCCAAAAATGAATTTTAAATATTGACATTTTTGAAATAAACTGATGTTTGAACAGCTGATTTTGAACAGCTAAAGTTTAAACAGTGATGCTGCTAAACTGCTGTTTAAAACATAAAATGAGACTATATAAAGCAAGAATATTCAGGTAAGGATAATAGTAATGAACACCTGCTATTTAGAATTAATTTTTAACAGCTGGAAATTTCTATTAAACAGTAAAAAATTTAAGAGTTATATTTTATTAGCAATATATCTCTTACATTTAAGTTGCTGTATGTTAATATTACTAATGTTTGTTTTACGACTAAGTTTCCAAATGTTATGAAAATTTAAGCAAACAACTTATGCAAAAGTTTTTTTCATAAATTAACATTAATCATATCTCCTTTGTTACAAATGTTCATGAAATTTTTTTGATACTAAACAGATAAAGATGTATAACTAATTGAAAAAATTATATGATAACCAAATTAAAATTTTTTAAATTTTATATTTAGTCTGTTTTTACTTTCACATTCTAAATATATATTCCTAAAGCATATATTATGTAAATTTAAAAGGTATTTGTATTTTAATATCAAAATATTAATATTTAATTATTAATACTAAATTGTGAACTTCATATTGAGAAATCCAATTTTATATATTTTGTTTCAATAAAATTCTTTTTTTCACAGACAATGAAGTGACCTTAATTGCATTAGAACTAGTCATGATAGATGTAAACTTCTATACCACTGGATTAGTTATCCTCACAATGATGCTCTTTTACAATCTTTAGAATGTCCTCAGACATATATTTCCAATGAAAGATACTTATTTCTAACACAAGAAGCTTTTTTCTTGTTTACAAGACTTATATAGATATAATTCTCTTCATACTCTGCCTTCCTAGTTGACTGGATTTATTTCTGTTTTGTCTTAATATCCTATTCTATGTATCAAAATCTTATTACTTTTTAATTAATTAATTTTGTTGTTTCTCTACCTTTTATTAGATTATATAGCATACAATAAATAATAAAATATAAATAAGATTTTTAAAATTAACATTATATTTATTTGCTACTATGAGAACAAACTCATAACAAGCAAGAAAATACTTCAACTAATATATCTGAATGAACAATAACTAATCAAAATGAAACTGCTAAAAAAGAATTCATATTTTCTTCCTTGGAAAAACATTTCAGAATTTAAATTCTCATTAAAACAGTGGCCATTAATCAACTCCATAATATTCTGTACTATTTTCATTTTTCGATAAATAAAAATAGCCAAGTACAATTTATAAAACAAATACAATAGAATCCATTTATTGTAATCACTTTGATATTTGCCTATACTGATGACAAAAACAAATTGATAACATCAGTCTAATTAAACAAGATTATAATTAGTGGAAATTCTGGTTTAATTGATTCTGACATTAAATGGATTGCTAAAACAATTAAAAAATGTATAACTTGAAGACTTTAATAATTAAAATCATTAACATACATGTCTTGAAATATGCTAACTAAATGAACAAAACAGAATTTCAGAATTCTAATAGTTGGCCTGACCACATGATCTACATATCGTTACCATATAAGGAAACAAATTTTTTTTGCATATAATTGCTGAGTGATCAACTTTCAAATCAATGTCATTAGATATTATTGACAGAAAAAATTAAATAGAAAATAATTTCAATAAGTTTATTTTATCATTTATAATTATTATTAACAAATTATACAATAATAATAATAATAAAAGAGAACAAAACAATATGATAAATAAATGTTTGATTCATCAGCTATTTTGTATTTTCAACACAAGATTTAGGAGTTTCTATCAGTATTCTGTTTCAATTATTTTATAATTACATCTATAATAATGCTAATGAAAATATATATTAAAAACATTGTTCTTATGTTTTATTTTCTTTCTGTGGTACCATAACTGCATTTATTTTCTAAACTGCTTACAGGTAAGTGTCATGCTTTCAATGGCAATGTCAAAAGTGTGGGATATATGGTGATATGGGTTATGCAACAGTTTTACTTCTGTTCTAGCAATTTTCTACAGGGTATCTATCACTGTGGTATCTACAGAAAATTACAGTAATACATAAATTTGATTAAATAATACAAAATACAATTTATGAAACTTGAGCTATCAAATGAATTAATATCAGACAGCATCACTTAATTTTCTTAAGTGATTATTTTTCTGAATTTTGAAATACTTTTGTACAGTTTTTTCTTATCTAACATTTTAAAATTTTTACTAGCTATTTTCTTGTCCTTATTTTCACTTATAATACTTAAAATTTTATTTTATTTTTTATCAAATAATACAAAATACAATTTATGAAACTTGAGCNTTTCAAAAACTTGATGACTTTAAATAAAAATACTTACATTCCTGAAAGCATTCATTATCAGTACAATAACCCTGAGAATTGCGAAGCTGTAAAAATTTAATAGACTATTTATTAAAATTCAAAAAGATATTAATTAATATTTTAAATATATAATTAATGCTTTAGTTATCAAGATTATATAAAACTATACTGTTGATTACAAAACATTTATCATAAACTAATGAATTTTTCTATACTATCCAGATACATTAAATAGTTAAATAAAGTATTTAAAGTATCTTATATAAACACATCTATATTTTACAAATACTGTTTAATATGTTTCAACTTGATGCCAAAAATAAATTGAATTTGTGATACAAGATATCAATCAATAAAAACAAGCTTGGGCCAAACTCCAGAACTTGAACTCCTAAATCCTATCATCATCTACAACAAATATATTCTTTAGAGTCCAATGAGAGATGGAAATTGAATAATCAAATTTCTTCAAAGCACATTTCATTTATGAAAATTTTGAATTTCATGCTAGTAAAGACAGGAAGCAGATAGCAACTCAGTTCTCAATAATTTTTTTTTTTGTTTTGTTTCAGCAGTGTTATGTCTATGGTAACCATAATTATACAATTTAGTGATTTTAATCAGAAAATTTTAGTTTACTTTTTATGAGCTTATTCTTAATAGGTCATTATAGTAGGTACAATATATTCTTTATTTTTATTGTTGTTATGTTTTTATGCAGTAGTACTACTAATATAAAAGCCATTGTCTGCATGTGTATGTGTGTGAACTCCTTATAACACCTGCAATTTTAGTTCAATCCAGATAAATTTTGGTTATATTCGTTTTATGTTCTGACGTAAAGTATATGCTACTTATTTTGTGGAAATATTAGCTATAGAATAAACATTTTATCAATTTCAGATTGGTAATTGCATTTATGTTGCAGTAACATCAGTAACCACATGATTTTCATCATGCTTGACGAGGAAATTTCCCTTTTTTTAAATATTTTGGCAAATAGCATGTTTTAAACTTACTTCATTAAATTTAAACTTTAAAAAATTATAGCTGTATCATGTCACTTCTAAAACAAATTAATTAAAAAAAAAAAAAAAAACAAATCTTTCCATACTGACCACAAGACTTTCTATTATCCAATCGAAAGTAACAATCTAATAGACCATTATTTAAAAAGTGTTATCGCTAAGCTAATTAACATACATACAATTCATCTTTGTTTTATCAGTGTAGAATTAAAAAGACCAGGGGAAAGGGTAAGAGTAAAATAGGTCAGGTAAACTGTGGATCTAAAAAATAAGAACAACCGAGACTCCTGAAGGTCATGAAGTTCGATTTGAGCAACATTGAGTAAGTATGGCTTTGTCAAGAACTGCAGAAACAGCATCTAAATGTAAGCTCAACTTGAAGCTCTTGTCAATTCTTCAATCTCTACTTTCTCAAAAAATATTCCATCATGCTTGACGAGAGAATTTCTAGTTTTAATATAAAATATGTAGTATTATTATATTTTTATTGTTGTCAAGCAAAGAATGAATAGCACTTGAGGACTTGGTAT